CAGGAAATAACAGGGGAAGGTTGCAACAATCTGGAAGAGGCTCGGGATTTAGAAATGAAGGATTTCGGGGCCGTGTTGGCATTTATGGAGGTGGAAGGGCGAGTTACAACAACAGTGGCTTTCGGAATCAGAGGGGCGAAGAAAACATCAATAGTCGTGTGAGTCGTGTGGCCAATGGCAGTGCCAAGAACACTTCGCCTCGTGTTTCAGCTACTGCTTGAGCCTTCTTGAGGATGTGTTTGTTTGTTTGGGCAAGTGAGTTGTTCCAGCTTATTTAGGCTTTTTTATTCTTTCAGACATGGTTTCATTTGGGGATTGTTTAGGTCAGCCTTTTCATTTTGCGTTTTAAATAGCTCTTATCTGGGTAATATTATTCTCATTTTTCCCATTTGGTGGGTATGATAGATTTAGATCAAGCAGGTGTTCTTTTTCGTGTTGTAGTTTAATTTAATTTTCGGGAACTTGTTCGTGCTGTTGTTGGCAACGCGTTAGTTGATGCGGAGATTCTTGAGATACTTCCAACTTTTTTGGTCCTTATAAAATTATGGTTTATTTACAAACATGTTCTATGATTTGAAAAATATTGTATAAATACGATTCAAGTAATTTATTAGCATTATTATTGATTCTATACCAAATAACTATGAATATGTCTAATATCAATTTACCAAAAGAAAAAAAAAAACAAAAAACAGTTTTCTTAATTTTCGTAACTGAAGAGACTTGATAAAAAAAGGTCATCCTTAAAAATGCTCTCTGATGGCGCAGTCCATTACGTTGTCCAAGAGGTTGTCGGAGAGGTTGGTGGAGTGGCTGAACCGGTGCGAATAGATGGAGCGTGCGAATACACTAAGGTGAACCGGATCTTTTGGGCATTCTCGACGTACTTGGAATATGTCCAGGAAGAATGATTTTTTATTCTAGTAGTATCCCAAACTACTAACAGACCAACCAAGATCTTGAAAAAATTCACTGAAAAAACTAAAAGTGTTACTGGCTTGTGATCGACGATGTCTTTCATTCTCCTTTTTTCAAAACTTTCTTTTTTCCCATTTTTAAAATATTCATGAACACAATTATTTCATATGGAATTCACATACCTCATTAAAATTTCATTTCTTCTGTTCATGTGTGGTGGTCTGAACAAATTGTTTTCGTAATTCATTTTTTTTCTTTCGAATTTCAATGTTTTGTCTCTTTTTTACTGTCTTGATTTTTCTTCATCACTGAGCTCATTATCATCTTTCTAAATTTTTCATTTTCCTCTTTCATTGTTTGCTCTCTCAGCCCATCGTCCAAGAGGTTGTCGAAGAGGTTGGTGGAGGGGCTAGGGTTGATGTAGGTGAACTGGTGCGAATAGATGGAGCGTGCAAATACACCAAGGTGAACCGGATCATATGGGCATTCTCGATGTACTTGGAATCTGTCGCAGGAACGATTTTTTATTCTAGTAGTATCCTAAACTAATTCCAGACCCGCCAAGAACTTGAAACAACTCACTAAAAGAAGCAAAACTGTTACTAGCTTGTGATCTACAATGTCTGTCATTCTCTTTTTCTCAAAACTTGTTCTTTTTTTTTTTTTTTAACAACCACAGTTATTTTGTATGGAATTCACATACGTCATTAAACTTTTTATTTTCCTCTATTCATGTGTGGTGGTCTCAACAAATTGTTTTCGTAATTCTTTTTTTTTGCTTCTGAGTTCAATTTTTTGTCTCATTATCCCGCTATCTTGATTTTTCTTCATTGCTGAGCTCATTATCATCTCTATAAATTTTTTATTTTCCTCTTTCATTGTTTGCTCTATCTCTTAGCCCATCGTCCAAGTGTCGGAGAGCTTGGTGGAGGCTAGGGTTGAGGTAGGTGAACCGGTGCTAATAGATGGAACGTGCGAATACACCAAGGTGAACCGGATCTTTTGGGCATTCTCGACGTACTTGGAATCTGTCTCAGGAAGACCAATTTTTTATTCTAGTAGTATCCCAAACTACTTCCAGACTCGCCAAGACCTTGAAAAAACTCACTGAAAGAACTAAAAGTGTTACTGGCTTGTGATCTATGATGTCTGTCATTCTCTTTTTCAGAAAATTATTTTTTTTTTCTCATTTTTAAAATATCAACGACCAGAGTTATTCTGTATGGAATTCACACACAGTCATTAAAATTTTATTTTCCTCTGTTCATGTGTGGTGGTCTCAACAAATTGTTTTCGTAATATATTTTTTTGCTTTTGAGTTTCAATTTTTTGTCTCATTATATCATCTCTCTAAATTTTTCATTTTCATCTTGCATTGTTTGCTCTCTCTCTCCCAGCGCATCGTCCAAGAGGTTGTCGGAGAGCTTGGTGGAGGGGCTAGGGTTGAGGTAGGTGAACACCGATGCGAATAGATGGAGCGTGCGAATACACCAAGGTGAACAGGATCTTTTGGGCATTCTTGACGTATAGGAAGAATGATTTTTTATTCTAGTAGTATCCAAAACTACTTCCAGACCCGCCAAGATCTTGAAAAAACTCACTTAAAGAACCAAAAGTGTTACTGGCTTGAGATCTACGATGTCTGTCATTCTCTTTTTCTGAAAACTCTTTTTTTTTCTTTGTCATTTTTAAAATATTCACGACCACCGTTATTTTGTATGGAATTCATATACGTCATTAAAATTTTATTTTCCTCTGTTCATGTGTGGTGGTCTCAACAAATTGTTTTTGTAATTCATTTTTTTGCTTTTTGAGTTTCAATTTTTTGTCTCATTATCTCACTGTCTTGATTTTTCTTCATTGCTGAGCTCATTATCAGCTCTCTAAATTTTTCATTTTTCTCTTGCATTGTTTGCTCTCTCTCTCTCTCTCTCTCTCTCTCTCTCTCTCTCTCTCTATCAGCCCATCATCCAAGAGATTGTCGGAGAGCTTGGTGGAGGGGCTATGGTTGAGGTAGGTGAACCGGTGCGAATAGATGGAGCGTGCGAATACACCAAGGTGAACCGGATCTTCCTGGCATTCTCGTCGTATTTGGAATCTGTCTCAGGAAGAACAAATATTTATTCTAGTAGTATCCCAAACTACTTCCAGACCTGCCAAGATCTTGAAAAAACTCACTGAAAGAACCAAAAGTGTTACTGACTTGTGATCTACGATATCTGTCATTCTCTTTTTCTGAAAACTCTTTTTTTCTCATTTTTAAAATATTCACGATCACAGTTATTTTGTATGGAATTCACATACATCATTAAGATTTTATTTTCCTCTGTTCATGTGTGGTGGTCTCAAGAAATTATTTTCATAACTCATTTTTTTGCTTTTGAATTTTAATTTTTTGTCTCATTATCTCACTGTCTTGATTTTTCTTCATCGCTGAGCTTATTATCATCTTTTTAAATTTTTCATTTCCCTCTTTCATTGTTTGTATAACTACAGATACATCTACTCCTTGTTTTCTCTTAGATTTTGATTTTTTAATACCTAATGGTCGTTGTGATGACGAACCAACACTAGCATTTTCATTGCTTGAATTTATGGAAAAATTAGATAGTTTTGGATTAGGTGAAATGGGATAATCGGGTTGTGCATCTCATTACGGTTGAGATGAAAATGTGTTTCGTGTGGTTGATGTGCACTCGAACACTGCAAAATCTTTCATAATCAACCATACATGCTCGTACTTGTACATGAATAGTCGATTACTTTTATTTTTTTCGATTTTGTGTATAAAGTATATTCGCTCGCTCCATCTATAATATGAAAATAAATAGCATTAGAAATATTAATATTTTTATAAATATAATTAAGCAATGCGTGTAAAATTTCTTACCACATCATGTTCAGAAGCTCTACTGATGTTTGCATTTTCAATTCGCTCCACACACGATTTTAAAAGGTTAGTAGCAGTATTGATATTTCTCATGCGACATTGGGTCGATCTTTGTGGACGATTAGGCCATATTGTATTCAGTTTTTAGAATTATACTCGTCGTTACACGTAGTCAGAATTGATCTCTACTTTAATATATGCCCACCTATAGATCTTAATAAATTTCCATATAAGACTGACAGCGGTGTTAATCTTCACTCACAGTGTAGTTGGATCCTATAGGAGAAATTACTATAAGAAAATGGATATAAAACGTACATAAAAAAATGCTAAATTTTTTTATTTTGGAGGTACAATATTATTGCATTACCATGTAGCGTATTTATAGTATACAGGGTTGATATTCGTGATAGGAAATCTGATTTTCCGGCTCAGATTAAAAGTTGTGGATTTCCTTATCTACAATATCAACCATACAATCAAAAATCAAGATTTCACGGCATAGATTTAAAGTTGTGGATTTTCTTATCTACAATATCAACCGTGTGATCAAAAATCAAAATTTTACGGCTCAGATTGAATGTTGTGAATTTTTTTATCTACATTATCAACCGTACAATAAAAAATTAAAATTTTACGGTTCAGATTAAAAATATTTTTATTATTTGGGTAATAAACATTCATATAAGACTAAACAGTAAACATACGTATATATACCAATTTATTTGAAATAAAAATAAATAAAAAAATAATATATTTGATGTACAATAAAATGTAGCGCAAAAGACTGGAGATGAAAATTGAATTTTGGCTTCCTCTACTATGGAGTCGAGGACTGGAGATTGTCTAAGCAATGAGCAGCATTGAGCACCCTAACTTTAGCAATTGAAACAAAATCCACATTACATTATAAAAAGAAGACATGAATGTGCTACCGATCAAAAAAAAGAAGAGATGAATGTGCTTAACAAACCAGGACAATCAAAATAGTTAATCTATGTGTTCCCCAAAATTAAAACAATCAAAATGAAGAACCAAACCAAAGACTAACAGCCTGTTCAACTTCCAAAACCCAGAAACTAGAATATATTTACCTCTCAAACAGTAATTTATTCAACCAAAAATACAGAGCTCTTACTCTTTGTTTTTTGGGCAAAAATTAAAAACTTGTATGCCACAAGCAATTTATCTACACTATCTATCTACCAATCTACCTATCCCCATTATCATGCACCTTCTTGCTATGCTTGCTCACGTGGCGCAGCCACCCAAATCCTTTAATGGCCTTTGAAATCTTGACAAGGTTTGGCCTCCCAATGCCCAGATTCATTTTCCCGGCCGACAACTTAACCGCCTGCAGACAACACAACTGCCCATCAACAACATCATCATCATCATCATCCTCATTTTCATCCTCAACAAACTCAATGCCGCTCGTTTTTTTACTCGTTTTCTTATTCGAGTCCATTTCGTATGCCTCCCACAAAGAGTCCATGCCTTCTCCACCATCCACATTGTGCCGCTCTTCGAATAACTTGCAAGCTAAAGTCCTTCTCCATTCCTTTTCCTTTCTCATCGACCCTAAACTTCCCGAGTCGCACGTTTTCAAGTTTTCGGCTTTCGTGATATGCTCTTTGGACTGATTATTCTCATCACTTACATCACAACTATGAGAATGACCTTTTACGACCGGAGGAGGAAGATTTTGCCCTTTTCTGCCGTTTTCGTAGCTGTTCAAGCCTAATTTTTTCTTTTCATCGGTATTAGCAGTGGACATTTTCTCAAATTGATGGAGTATCTTCAAGAAATTCTCCAACCTCTTTTCTTCTAAGATGGGACAGGAATTTTTTATTTGGGAAATAGGGCCTGGATTATTCTGCTCAATCATTTTAGCTTCGAAAACCCCTCTTTTCTGAGAAAGACTCCTACTTTTCACGCCCGATCCAGGACTTTCCTCTATTTTTTCTTCCGGAATTTTAGGGGGATTTTCGTTTTCCTCATACAGCAAACGCGTCCCGAACAGGATTTCGTATATCCCGAGATCGTCCGTGCCTTGAGACCCATCGCGCCCGAAATCTTTCTCGGACAGAGGATCTTGCGAAACGGAAACGGAGATCTTTTCCTGGACAATGCCGGAGATGAAAAGAAGGAAAGTAGTGAGAAAAAGAGGAGAGAGAAAGGAGACGAGTTTCAGAAGGTAAGGGGAGAAGAAAACGAAGTAGCAAAAATACAGAGGATTGGAGAAAATGAAGTTGCAGAAATTAATTAAGTCGGAAATTAATAGAGAAGAAAAATGGGCTTTCAGAAGGCACAACTCATCAGACATCTCTATTGTTTTCTTCTTCTTTGCCCTGATTTCTTAAGAATGAAAGTAATACATGGAAATGGGAGGTGAAGAGAAAAAAAGATGGCGAAAATGGCGAGAAAATGAAGAAGAATGAGGAGAATCTCGTCGATTTTGTGACTAGTAAAGGGAGTGACAGCGGCGTGATTAAGGGAATATATTTACATTTTATTTCTATACATATTTTTAGTAATTAACTGTCATTGTGGCCTCTTGGAAAAAGGTTGTATTATAATGTTTCTATCCACGAGGCTTTTTTTTTCTCATCATTATGTCCGCGAGGGAAGAGAATTTCGATGATCCACATTTAAACAAGTACTGTTCACTTGAAAGCTTTTGTCATAATAATTTTTTATAATAATACAGGCAAATAGTTAATCGAGTCAATCCTCTTACCTTTTTATTAAAATGAATACCTGCATAATGTCATGTTTGATTTGTTTTTATTTGTGTTGTTTTATGAAGTATGACTTTGTATTTTAAAAATATCTGTACGTATTGGAATAAAAGTTGTATGGGCTTGCCTAGTACCAAACTTGTTGATAGTCAAAATCAGCCAAAACAGTAAATTATAGTATAGTTTTAAGAATAAGGTGACAGTAGTTAAAGAAGAGAAATTTATACCATATACTATCAAATATATTAGTACAGATCCCGTGCGATGCGCGGGATGCACAAAATTAAGACTATTTATCAAGTTTTATAATTATATAAATGAATAAAGAAAAATGTACAGGATATATATAGTACGTGACCTGTAATAGGCCAAAATGTGAACACGGGTGATGCACGGGGTGCACAATTTTAAGGTCATTTATTAGTACAGAGTCCGTGCGATGCACGGGGTGCACAATTTTCTAGTATGTGTAATACAAATACATACCGTTTGCACGGGACAGAAGCACTAAATGAGTTATTTCCACATAGCTTGCCGGTTAAGTAGCTCCTGAACACGGGTGCACAATTTGTAGTACGTAATATAAAATCAGAACAGATTTCCATACAATTAGATAATAAATTAGATAATAAATAAAGCCTTTTTATTTTAATAAAGATTTTACGTACTTTTTTTT